TGTCCACACGTACACACGCACACTGTGCACGAAGATTCGTCTTCACGCGATAGTCCCTTGAACAAGTTCTTCTCACCTCCACGACCTCCAACCATCCCGTCTGTCACTTTGATGCACAATGTCAAATCTGTCGGCAACGACATTGGGCAACGTCCTGCTTAGCAACAGCGAGAAGGTGACGGACAAAGCACCAGCGAAAGACTTCAGCTCTGAGGGCGTGACAGATGATAAGGTCACCTACATCCACTTTGACCCAGGAGAGTCTCCGCGAGACTGGCCAGAATGGAAGGTGAGGCACATTGCTGACGTTGATACAAAGTCAGAGATGATGTAGCCGCCTCGTAAGGCAAGTTGACTGATAGGAAGTGCCGTCGACCTTTCCAAGAAATGGCTTCTGCTCGTCCCAATCTACCTCGTGGACTTGTCCGTGTCGTGGGGCGCTTCAGGATTCTCCCCAGCTCAAATGAAATTCGCAAAGGACCTTGGCGTATCCTCCGAGGTGGGCACGCTGGGGCTAAGTACGTATGTTGGTGGATTGGCCTTGGGACCAATGATACAAGCTCCTGTCTCTGAGGTGAGCCTTCGTGATTCTTGCTCATTTCTCATGGAGCGAAGCGGCGGTGCCAATCGCGGATGGGTCATTCAACGCATGTACGCTTCCTCATCCTTCTCAACAGTACTTTGGTCGGTCAGTCGTCTACATTTGCGGGTACGGCATCTACCTGCTCTGGATTCTGGGCACAGCCCTCTCTCCCAATCTCGGTGCCTTTCTTGCCTTTCGCTTCCTTGGCGGTGCTTTCTCTTCAGTTACCATTGCCACCCTAGGCGGTACAGTGGCAGATCTCTTTCCGCCTCGTCGGACAGGCTATGCCATGTCCATTTACATTTGGGCTGCAACGTGCGGTTCTCCCAGCGGCTACTTCCTCTTTTCATTTGTCGCCGCGACGAGGGGCTGGAGAGACGTGTTCTGGGCAATGCTGGGTATCAGCGGTGGGCTATGGCTCATCATGACTCTCGTCATGCTTTGGTGTGGCGAGAGTAGACATGATGTGCTGCTCGCCAGGAAAGTCAGCAACCAGAAGAAACAGATAGGTTGCGAACCGGGAATGCCATCACACTCCGGCCGCATAGATGTCCCACCTGGATACGAGCGGTCAGGCGTTCGGCAACTGCTGCAGGTCACAATGACTCGACCCTTCCGGTTCCTGGCTACCGAACCCATCGTCACGTGAGTCCACGTGTGGTGTTTGTTGGTTGCAGACTGGTTGAAGCACACTAACACTCAATGCCTGGGTGCTTCTCAGCTTTGCCTCTTTCTTCAATGGCTACTTGTACGGACTTGTGTATATGTTCAACACTGCCATCTCTCAGGTCTTTGAGGGCAGTCACGGATTCGGTACAATTTCAACCGGTCTGGTCTTCCTAGGCTTGGTGGTCGGCATCTCTTGTGGGCCTTTCATCAACCTCTTCGGCGAAAGTTTCTATCAGAAGAGATATCATCAGAAGGGCCAGCCGGTCCCGGAAGCCAGAGTCATGCTGGCAATCTTTGCGTCCATAGCTCAGCCTATGGCGCTTTTCTGGTTCGCGTGGACTAGCTTCCCTTCCGTACACTTCATCGTTCCGTGAGTGCCCTTCGCTGAAGCGTCGAAAGAGGCTGCAATTTTGACACTTTGATCATCCTCGCAAGCGTCATTGCTTCTGCCTTGTGGGGCTGGGCCTTCTACGCGCTCATCATGGCCTCGTATCAATACGTCGTAGACTCGTGAGTTGCACTTGAAGCAAGCGCCACCGATTTAAGAGCAGAGCTAAAAATCTACATCCTCTCTCCCTCGTCTTAGTTATGGCACCTACTCGGCATCCGCTCTCGCCGGTGTCGGTCTGATCCGCAATTTGGCTGGCGCAGGTTTCCCGCTGTTCGCCAGACAGATGTACAGCAAGCTCGGCTACGAATGGGCCAGCTCTCTTCTGGCATTTCTTAGTCTGGCTCTTATCCCGAGTGAGCGCGCTCTTCTCTATACATCGTGATGGCTGACTGCGTGATTGCTGACCAGACCTTCGACCTAACCTCACCGTCAGTCACCTTTGTGCTTTGGTACAAGGGTCCTTGGC